GAACTTTATGAGGAATTCACCATCTTTGATGTTGCTTCCAAGAACCACATTTATGTTATATTTGTGTTCTAACCACAGAGATCGATGTTTGTTCCTTTTTAGTGCCTTTTCAGGAAAGAAAATCAACTGTAACTAGAAACACATTTTAGATATCTGAATTTTAAATACTCTGAACTTGTATCTCCAGCTTGTTGCACTGCTTCCCAGGGAATCTCGGTTAAAGCCAGAATTCTTCCCTGACTGTGATGTTTCAGCTCCGGTAGCTTCATACCTGGACTGATGCTGGGGGTGGTGATGGCTGAAGGAGATGAGCTGCCGTTTACGTTCCAGGCTGTGACCGTGATGTCGTGTTCTTTACTGGTGTCCAGACAGAACATCAGCTTACGTTCACTGGGAGCTACTCTGGTTTTGTTGGTTGCCCAGGTAACTTCATATTCAGTGATCTGTCCGTGGCTCTGATTGGCCAGTAGTGTCTGCAAAGAGGTAACATCAGAACTTGATTATCTTGCAGGGTATACCTAAAGCAACCACGGCATCTTCAACACCTCCTCACTGTAGAAGTTGTTTGACTGAAGTTGCGACTCATAATTTGGTTTGTTTCTTTACTGCTGCTTTGCAGATTAGATGCAGGAATAATGACCCTGAATGGTTTTTATAGCAAACCAGTTGACTGTAAATATCAACTAACAGCTGGTAGATTGTGGTTCAGGTTTTCGGCAGAACTTTTCTAGAAGCTCAGAGGTGATTGGAGGTTCTAGCTGCTGAACTAAGGAACTAATGGGACAAAGAAGGCGTCCAGTTACAGAGATTTTTCACCACCTTTTACCAACAACAGCTCATCAGAAACAGGTACCAACTCATGTGACTCACCTTCCAGACGACTACAACCTGGTTTTCCTTCGCCTGCATCCAGACATCGAGAGCATCTGGAACTGTGGCGCAAACAGACGAACGCTGTCGGTTAAAACACCAACACAGATTGAACGTCTGTTTGCCTGTTTCTATACCTACCGTCACCCTTTGTGTGGAACTCTGAAGCTTTGCTCCAGTCACCCCACTTCCACCAGTGCTGTGCCGTTCTGCATCTCACCGTCACATTATACGTCCAGTTTGGTATCAAGTCGGTTAGAACTGCAGCGTTAAGACCAACTCCAGATGTTTCACTCTGCAAACACAAAGACAAGACGTGTGTTAGTCAAGTGAAACTGAGATTTGTACCTTACAGAGCGAACATGTCCTCCATCCACTCACTGTGCTGCTTGTGTCACCGTGGCTAACTCGTACTTCACAGGTCAGACTGAGCTGGTTGTACCCATCTACGGTCCACCTCCACTCCAGACTCACGTTTCTGGAGTTCACAGTCGAAGCGGTTACTTGTTCTGGAGCAAACATGCGCACTGAAACCAAATCAGATGAATGTAATCTTTAAAAATGAGCAGTTTACCACAGAAAGGTGCTTCTTCGGGGTGTTTTAGAGGCGGTACCTCTTGTGGTCAGGTCCGCTCTGTCGTGAAGCCGAACCTCTCCGAGCTGATTTCGTGCCGTTAAAGTCCAGTTTGTCTCACCGGCTTCATCCGGCATCAGATGTGAGCAGCTGCCTGTAATTTCCTCTGCACAGTCACTGAAACACAAACTAACACAGTTAATACATCTCAAATCAAAAGTTTTACAACAATTTCTGCTTGATTATCTCAGAATTGGCTGAATTTTTTAAAATTTATTTTTTATCATAAACTGGAACTTTTGTCGGAAGATGTTGAAGAAGTTCTGTTCAGAGCAGTGCCTTGTTTTAAGCAGCCAATAATGTAACTGATCATTTTACATTAGTGATAGAAGAAGAAGACGACAATGTTGTCATTTACAGATGACTACAGCTAATGTTAATTA